AAGAAGATGTGGTTTATATATGTACATATAATGGTATACTACTGGGCAATGAGAAAGAATGAAATATTGCATTTATAACAACGTGGATGGAACTAGAGGGTACTACGCTAAGTGAAAAAATCAGAGAAAGACAGATGTCATATGTTTTTGCTCTATGTGGAATTTGAAAAACTTAAGACCATGGGGGAAGGGAGTGGGGAAAAATAGTTTCAAACAAAGAGGCAGGCAAACCATAAGAGACTCTTGAGTATGAAGAACAAGCTGAGGGTTGGTGCGAGGGAGTGGGGGAGAGGAGAAAATGGGTGATGGGCATTGAGGAGGCCACTTGTTGGGATGAGCACTGGGTGTTGTATGTAAGCGATGAATCATGGGAATCTACTCCTGAAGCCAAGAGCACACTGTATATACTGTATGTTGGCTAACTTGACAAGAAATTATATATTGTTTTTAAAGGTGGACATTTTGTAAGACAAACAAACAAACAAACAAACAAACAAAAAAACCCTAAGATTGCTTCATGGGATTTAATTCATTTCATATACTTCTTTTCTAAAAGGAGCTTCAAGTTACACAATCAATAAATTAAGTTTCAAAATGCATTTTTCACCCCAGAAGTTCCTCTGCTAGGAGGAAATTATTTGTTTACACTTTATACATTTTACATAGAATGGTGATGGACAGGAATGCAGAGATGGAGAAATAAAAGAGAAGGTCAAATAGAGACAGCAATGTCTGTCATTTTTGGGAACTTGCTCACTCTTTTGCCTTAAGCTGAAAGCTAGCTTTCCCTGAGGCTGGACATCTCCCAAATGGTGCCTAATTATTTTCTCTCATCACACATCCAGGGCATGGGGTCTATGTCCACTTCCTTCCCTGTTGTCATTTCCCAGATCACTTTTATTTTATCAACTTGTAAAACTAAAACAAAATCATCAACCACAAAACAGACCTGGGTTCCTCTTAGGTCATGCTAGAATACTCTCCTCATCACATCTTTATCTTTCTGACCAAAAATTACCAGCTACTGCACCTCACCCATTGTCCTTTCCTCCAGCTTCTGTGGTGTAGTGCTCCTCAAACTTTATGTACACTTCAGTTATCAAAATTCAGAATTCTAATTCTGACTCAAATTCTATTCAAAATTCAGATTCTGATTCTGTAGAGACCCCCAAGTGAAGTCTCCATTTCTTATAACTTCCCAAGAAGCCATGGACCACCATGAAGAGTAAAGCACTAGAGGAGATTTTTCTGCCATTACCTAATCTACTATAATCCTAATTTTCCTGTTCTGCTTTGGAACTCATTCTTCCCTGCCCTTACTATTTTTAATATCTATTGTTCCTTCACCGCTCCTTGTCTTTCTTAACTGCTTAAGTAGCACCCATTAAAGCGTGCACACACACACTCACACACACACACACACACACACACACACACACACACACACCTACCTCAATTTAACCCTTTACTCCCCACTAGCTACCATCGCAGGTCCCTCCCTTTCACAGCCAAACTTTTTTAAAAAAAGAAATTGTTAGAAAGAAAGAACTGTGTTTGCTTATGCCATTTCTTCACCCCCAATACAGAAGTGGATTGGATTCTGTATCTGCATCAATCTTACTTGCAGGTCATTAGTCCATCAACATAATGTTCACTAAAGTCACCAATGGTTGCATGTTGAGAAGCCAACAAAGACATTTTCAGTTCTCATCTTATTTGAACCTATCAACAGAATTCATTTCTGTGAACCACACCTGATATTTTTCCACATTGTTCCCTATGACATGATGGTCTTATTTTCCTGTTATCCTGTTATTTTCCTGTTTCTAGTGACTTTTTCACTTGGTTTTATTGGACCACAATCTTCTATCCAGCTATTAGATATTATATATTGAAGTTCTTTGGGACATAGTCCTTTTCCAGTATATATTTTCTAGTATATATTTGTACCGTATAAACTCCATGCTCTGTCAACCAAAGACTTTTTTTTTTTTTTGAGAGAGAGAGAGAGAGAGAGAGAGTGCATGCATGAGCAGGGGAGTGGGGCAGAGGGAGAGAGAGAAGAGAATTGCTCTCTCAGCATGGAGCCTGATGCTGGGCTGGATCCTGCGATCCTAGGACCCTGGCATCATGACCTGAGCTAAAATCAAGAGTCAGACACTCAACTGAATGAGCCACCTAGGTGCCCTTAAATGCAAATGACTTCTAAATTTATGTCTCCAGCTTACACATCTTCTTTGAATTACAAACTTGTATGTCCTATCACCTACTTGACATCTTCTCTTAGATGTATCAAAGGCACTTCAAACATAAGAGATCCGAGCTATATTAGTGATTTCCCAAAAGTACATGCCAGTATCACACAGCCAGGTACATAGTCCAGAAAATTATTAAGTTTTTGATACATCCTCTTCTCTGTCATATATCCACTCTATCTTCTGAGGCCTCCCAAATGTCTATAGAATGTAGTCTACTTACTTCATCTCCACCATCATCTCCATCCTAGTATCAATGATTGTCATCTCTGGGCTGGGCTACTACAAATGATTTCCTAAGGAGTATTACTTCCATCCATTCTACTCTGCTCTTCCTTCTTTAATCTATTCTACACGCTGCAGATATGGTATTATTTTTGAAACACAAATTTCACCATTTATGCCCTGAACTTGTTTTGATCCCTTGTATCAGTCAAGCTTTTTCCCACTAAAGTGATGTTGCTTGTACTGTTTCAATGGCTTGGGATGTTCTTCCCTCCTTTCTCCTAGGTAACCCTGCTTATCCTTCAGACCTCATTTTTTTTGTTTTTTTTTGTTGTTGTTGTTGTTTGTTTGGGTTTTTTTTGGTTTTTTTTTTTTTGGAAAGCCTATCTTTGCCTGCATGACTTGGTCAAATTCATTTACTAGATCACCATATTCCCATATTCCTTGACAGGCTGTTATATTTCTGGTTTTGTTCACCATTATCTTCCCAGTACTAGAACAATTCCTGACACATAGGTGTTACTCTCAAAATATCTCTTGATGAATTAATGTATGGAGAGGATAATATCAGTTGAAGAATCCCAAATGGTATGGGATTTGAGCTGGGCACTCTCTGTAATTATTGAAGAATAAGGTAGAGGGAGATGAATAGGGATATTGCAAAGAACAAAATGTAATAGCACTTTCTTTAATAATTAGGAAGGAACTCGAAGAGGAGGTGAAGATATTTCATAAGTTGATCTAGAGAATGGTAAGGCCAATGATAAAGCAGTTTCAGCTAAATAAAATGATAAGCTCAATTTATCCATCAATGGCACTTGAGGTAAGAAACTTACCAGTTTGGAAAGGGCTTGAAGACATGTATAAAATGTAGGATAGAATATGGTGTGAGATGTCATCTAGGCATCCTGGTCTAGATGCACTTTGTTGCTGACAAGCAAATAAACTTCTCTGTGTTCACTATCTTGGTTACCAGCACAGAGTAAGAAATCATGAGCCATTTGAGTGCACTCTCTTCTATTTTCTTATCCCTTTTTATCATCATCTATTTGTTCTTTTCTGTCCCACAGCCACTTCCTTGGACTTTCACCTGAACTATTTCAACAACTCTCTTACTACTCCCCTTGCATCCAGCCTTGTTCTCCTGTAATACAGTTTGCACTTTCCTCCCAGAGTGACTTTTCTAGGACACCACAATGTCACTTTCATGCTGCGTATCTTTAAAAGGTTTCCACTGACTACAAAATAAAATCTAGACTCTTCATCAAGGCTTTCTGATTTGATCCTAGAAGTCCTGAAGTTCTCTTCCAATGCGTCTCTCCAATCATACCAGACCACTTCTTATCTCTAAGTGCCTCCTTTCCTTCTTCGTTGTTTCCTTTCCGTCCTATCGAAATCTGGCTGGAGAGTAACAAAGTTATTCTGACTGGTAAGGAAACAACAACAACAAAAGACCAAGGAAACTCTTAGCCTTCCAGTTCAACTCAGATGTGGCCTCCTGAATGAAGCTTTCCCCTCTAGGAAAATATTTAGAGTCCCATTGGTTATCTGCCAGCTCACTGTAACTCTTAGCCAAAAGTTAGCTGAGTCACTGTCTCTCACATAGGTGAAGTTAAGCTCACTATTTGGCATGTCTCCTTGAGCTAGTCTAGCTACAGAGTTTGGCTCTACGTAATCTGTTGTCACACCTCCCTTCTAGAGGTGTGGAAATGTTTCCACAGAATCCTCCCCTTGACCTAAAGAAGACTGCTACGCGGAGGGGGGAGGGCGTCGTTACGTTTTACGTCATCACGCGCAGGGAGGGTGGGGCCCTCAAGGGAATGTAATGAGGGGCGTGGCCAAGTGGCATAGGGCGGGGCTACAACGAGCTGGGCGGGGCCGCAGTGGAGTCGGGGCGCTTCTGCTCTTCAGCCGCTGTGCACTGAGTCCAGAGGCAACGCTGGGAGGGTCCCCTCGACGCTCGGTCCCGAAAACGTGATCAGGACCACGGGCTCAAAGCAGAGGCAGCTGCGTAGTCTAGCGGAAGCTGGTGGTACGGGAGTGCGGCCGAAGTCTGAGCTCTGCAGGCGGGAAGCACCCGGGATAGGGGAAGCCCCAGGAGCAGCGGAGCTGCGCCTCCCTTACCCGAGGGGCCGCGGCGACGGTCACGGGGCGCGGCGCCACAGCGCGCGACCCAGGCCGGTATTGCAAACAGGCTGCCCAGGCTCCTCCTCCACCCGGGCCGCCTACCTGCGGACAGCGCTACGCCGCCTCTGCCGGTGTTGGAGGCACCTGCGCCGCCTTGCTCTCCGGTCTCCGCCCCTCGCCCCTCAGCGCCAGGCCCGGGCGGCGCACCTGGACGCGCGGGGCTGCGGGAGCCAGGGTTCGGGGCGCGCGGCGTCCTCGCGAGGACGCAGGTGGAGCGGGCGCGACTTCGTGGAATCCGGCGCCGGCCGCTGCAGTCGTCCGGGTCGCTTCGGGTCCCGGGAACCTGGCCGTCTGCGCCCGCTCCTGGGGAGGAGCCGCCGCCGGCTGGGCACCATGAACAGCAGCAGCTCTCACATCACCTACGCCAGTCGCAAGCGGCGGAAGCCGGTGCAGAAAACGTGAGTGTGCAGAGCTAGTCTTCCGCGCGGAGTGTGCGCCACTGCACCCCGGTGCGGGAGGCGGCCCCACCCCGCCCCCAAATCCCCGCCGTGCAGAGATTAGGTTCATTCGCGATACAGTCCGTGGAATCGAGATTTAGAGGCCCGCCGACAGACCCAGGCCTTGGATTTTTAGTTTTTAATGATCGCGTTTAAAAAAATGCACCCCCTCCCACTTCGCGGTGCACACGCACCCTCCCGCACCCCCACCCATCTGCACCTCTCTTTTCTGTGGTCTTAATTTGTTGACTGGTCTAGCCTGCCCAGTGGGACTGGTGGATTAATTAACACAAAACCGCCTTGAAATCCTCTTCGATTTTTAATATTCTCATTGGTTGGGTTAGAGGACGGTTATTATTTTCATCCTGGTAGGGCCAGATGTTTTAAAGAGCTAAACACGTGCCGTCTGCAAAAAAGGGTCTGAGTTCCTCTGAAGGTATTTTTTGGTCTCTGCAACCGGCTTTCTCTTAGCTGTTATTTACTTATTTGGCAGTAATTTTATAGCGCTCAACGTGATCATATCGGTGAAATGTATATACAGGGGAGCAGGGATGAATTGAGTGTAGTGGACAGGATACAGCGGGGGATTTGTATTTTCAGCCGCCCTTTTGGGGACTTTTCTTACCACTTTTGAAGTGATTTTAGGGTCTGTAAAGTGAAAGATTTAAAGCTGGAATTACTGAAACACGTTTGCATTCTTAGCATTTTTCTCTTTTTTCCCTTCCTTCAAAGTTTTATCGATTCTAATAGATTAATTAGAAACTTAGATATTTGTTTTGGTGATATATATTTGTGTGAGATGGTAAAAACATTAAAATAATGTTTCAGGAAAAAAATTAATGCTTGACACAGATTGCTGAGATCGTTATATTCGCGTGTTTATTACTAATTTGATCTTTGAGCTACTTAACATTTTTTCAAATCTTCATAAACCATTTTAGGAACAGAAACGTTTACTCAGAACAAGTCAGAAGTGTGCACTTTGCTTAAAACTCAGTTTAGATCACTAATTCAGATCAGAAAAATCACAATTCAGAATTTGTGTTTGGAACCAGTAACAGGTTTAAAAGTTTCATTATTCTGAAGTTTTAATTTCCTTTTAGAATTTCAATTACAGTTCTTCAGGTCTAGACTTGGCCTTAAGAGGAGATACTAACCTATAAGTAGACTGATTAAAATTTGGAAGTCTTATCCTGCAGTGTGGCTGGCATTAGGAATACTGCCTAGTCAGCAGTTTTCTGCCTTGCCAATTCTGTGGCATTGGCTTAAAATACTTATATTTTATAAAGGAGTTCCTTATATAAAAATGTATTTGTCTAACTCGGCCTTGTGTTTGGTGGTTATTTAAAATAACCAGGGGCATCCCAAATGCCTCTTCTATGTATTTGTTAATACAGTAGTATACTTAGCCTAATATAAAGGCAGTATCATGGATTTTATGTGTATGGTCAGAAAACTTGAAGATCTCCGTGATGAATTTTTAGGTTTTAATCATTGTCGTAACAAAGCATCTAGATGACTTTTTTTTTTTTTTTTTTTTTTTTTTTTTTTTTTTTTTTTAATCAAAAGCCTTGATGTTGTATTCATTATAAAGTTTAACATCTTTGGCTTTTAGTTAGCATTTTATTTATGTAAGATCTATCTTTCGTTGTTTTATTTTAGCGTTTTAATATACTTCAGAAAACTTGTAAATACATTTGTATTTAACAATCTCTTGTAATACAGTATAACTAAAGTATTTTCCACGTTCACGTTCATTTTATTTTAGTATAGATTTTGTCAGATCTTTATTGAGCACTTTGTGTTGCTTGTAGTCATATAAATGCCTTGACATGTCACCATATCGCTCCCTTAAGGAAAGCCTAGTGCTGACATTTGCAGAATCACGTGAAATTGATTATAAGTTGTTTTTACCTGAATGAAAAACGGATTACTTTATAATGCAGTTAGTCAAGGTTTATTTTAGGAATGTGGCCATTAAACCTAATGCTACGTTTAACATGCATTTAAATTACTAGTTTTTAGCTAATGAGGTCTAAAATATGCCAGCATTATCAGAAAAACACTAGTCTGAGCTGAAAATGGTATTTAACTTTGATCCCTTAAGTGAGAGTCATTTTATTTTACTTAAAGAAAAAAAAAAAACATATGTTGTATCATAATTATAGGACTGTTAACAATACAGTCAATTTAATATCCAGTTTCATAAAATTTTATAATCAAGTATGTGACAACTTTAATCTGAAGCTCTTCCAGTCCCTCTTCAATTGACTGTATTAAACAAGATAATCTCCCCCTAGTGGCAAGTCTAACATTGAAAATTATCTAATTGGCACCAAATACAACTTAAATGTGTTAAATTTAATCCCACTAAAGTATCTTGTACATAGTAGATGCTCAGTAAATGTTTCCCTTCTTTTTGCAATAATTAAGTTAGGAAATTAAAGGATCCTAACCAACCTTGCACCAGACCCATGTTCCTATTTTATTTTTTTTTTTTTAATTTTTTTCAACGTTTTTATTTATTTTTGGGACAGAGAGAGACAGAGCATGAACGGGGGAGGGGCAGAGAGAGAGGGAGACACAGAATCGGAAACAGGCTCCAGGCTCCGAGCCATCCGCCCAGAGCCTGACGCGGGGCTCGAACTCACGGACCGCGAGATCGTGACCTGGCTGAAGTCGGACGCTTAACCGACTGCGCCACCCAGGCGCCCCAGACCCATGTTCCTAAAGGAAATTTCCAAAGATACCCTTAAGAATGGATTCTACCGTTGCTTTCCTTAAGGTGTTGCTCTATATGTAATCACTCTGCTTAGAACACAAACAAATGAAATTCTTTTTAATTTAAATTATGTTCCTGTTTTGTTTTCTTTGGAGATGAAAATATTGTTCATTTGTTTAGTTACTTTGTCTCATGAAGGTAGGTGAAAAGGATACCATTGAATTAAATAGAATCTTTTTTTCCTGTTGATAATAATTTTGTATATATTTTTACATTTTTTAAAGTTTTGTTACTACTGGAAAAGTCGAGCGGTACTTCAGTTTACTGTTTTTCTACAAAGTTATTACTGATTGTTGGTAAATAATAGGTGTTGAGTAAATGACATCTACACTTAAAAATGATAGTCACAGCAGTGGTGATCAAGACGGCCATCATGAAATGCCTGTATGGGTAATAACTTCTCAGTATTAGATGATCCTGGTTACCTTGTTAATATACTAGTTATATAATACAAAAGCATGGTCTTTGTTGCTGTATTTGCTAAGTTACTGTTTATTTAAGCTTCATAAGCCTCATTTATATATAGTAGTGGAATAAAATTATATATTGTTTTACTGAAAGTATTTCATATAAATATACTATGGTATCATTTCCCAAATAGCTTTTAAAATAAAGGGATAGGTCTTTTCACTTCCATAATTATTGTTTTATCATATTTTTCAGATAGCTTTCCTTAGTTTATGCATAATGACTACAGAGATCCTTACATATTGGAACTATGAAATGAATAAGTGAAAGTGTTTAGTTGTCAGCATTTATGAAAAATAACTGGCAGAAAGAGGGAAAAATGAGAAATAAATGGAAAGAGCATTAGGTCTAAACTAAAGGATGAGGCCTAGTTTCCTTGCTCTTGTAGATCCAAGCAAGTGATTGACCAGTAAAGGAGCACAGTCAATACCTATACAGTCAGTCTCACAACTAAAATGAGAAGAACAAAACTTTTTATAAACTGTAAAGACTGTAAGTCATTGTTTACTGATATAAATGAAATGGAAAATTCTATTCTATAAATAATTATAGCTTACAATATCACAGAACAATCAGTTCTCCTGTAAGAGGCAGTATATGATTATGTTCTCAATTATGATTATGGCTGAAATGTGGTACTTCACTGACATCTAAACTTATATAGTGCATGCTTAGCATTGTATATAATTAGGACAGTTACTTAGAAATAAATTCCATGCAAATCTCTAACAACAGTACCTTTCTACTTCTGCAGTTTTTTTTTAAATGGATTTTTTTTGCCCAAAAGTTTATCAAAAAGCTACTGTTCATTAGTACTTATTGTGATATATATGTGCACAATGTTTTACATTTTATTTTATTTTTATGATGGTAGTGTGAAAAGGTATTACTATTTATTTTATAGATAGGGATCTGGGATTCAGATTCAGAATTGTTAGGTAGCAAATGAGAAAGCTGAGTTTGAATATCAGATTTCAGGTCTTATGGCTACAAAGCTTATGTTATTACCAACTTCGCAATAATGCTCAGGTAAGTAAGTTTAGTGATTTTTATGGCACACCCATATACTAGGGATTTCCTTAATGCTCCCGTTTCTCCTTAAATAATTAGTGTTATTTTCAGTAATAACATTCATTAGTGTTATATGAAATAAATGATTTACTGTTTGCCAGACTTGTGCTTACCTCCGTACTTGCATTCATGGTCTTTCCTCTTGGTCTTTCTTATGATTTACTACCTGCCTCCCTTCCTTTATAATTCCTATATGGTTTTCAGTGGCTGCATAGTACTCCATTCTGTAAATGTTCCATGATTTATTTAACTATTTTTGTTTTGGGGGGAAATTCTGTTACTTCCAACTTCTTAATATTTTATCTGGTATTTCAGAGAATATCCTTGAGATACATGAGTTTCTATGGAGATTCTTAGTTGTTTCCTTAGGAAAAATTCTTTTACGTGGAATTTGGAGGTACAAAGGTGTGTATGCATACTTTCAAGGTTGAGCCAAATATACTTTGAAATAGTATCAAATTACTCTACAAAAAAAAATTATTCCTGTGGATAGTATGGGAGAGTGCCTGTGTCCTTGCATTTTTGCTTTAAAATGTGAATTGTCCATTTCATAGGCAAAAAAGAGAGGAGGGGTAGGTAATTCAACTTAAATGTTGGGTTTGTGAGTGTGTGTGTGTGCGCGCACGCGTACGTGTATGAA